GTGACTGTTGTAAGCTTGGATATGAGCAAAGCTAAACATTCCTGGTGATGATTTGATTGCGGTTACTTCTGGGGACAGTTCACAGTAAAATAATAAAAATTAAACAATTTTTAATAGGTTCCAATTTTATTGATCAATTAGTCGAATTACACGCACCTTGCAGGGTGTCAAACATTTTTTTTTTTTTGTAAGAAAAGGTCAGATTTTAAATCATTGTTATATGTGGAGAAAAATGATGCATTTCAATATTACTTAATGATTTTGCCGATGTGACTTCCATTTTCCAGCTTTCTGCTATATTTTACATAGTCATTTCCTTGTTCAGTTTTCAATTTAGATCAAAGGGAAAAACATTTTCAGTGGGTGGTGTTAAGCAAAAACAACTTGATCTGACTCCTTTGATATGTAATTGATGCAATATTTGATTGAATCAATTGATGAACAGATTTAAACATTGATATGACAGTTGAATAGTAGCAACTATTATGTACGGTAAGACACCACCCACTGATTGGAGATTTCCTGCTCAACTTGATGTTCATATTGTATCATTTTGATCTTGCCGATGTGACCTCAATCTTCTGGCTTTCTCCTATAATTTTGATAAGTCATTCCCTTGCTTAAATATAAATCGAAGGGAAAATAAATTAGAGTGGGGGTGCCCCCTCCGAAGGATTCCCTTTGATCAAAATGAAATATACTTATCCAAGTACCCTGGATAATGCAGTTTATATATATATATATATATATATATATATATATATATATATATATATATATTGATACTGCATTATATTTCACTTTGATCAAAGGGAGTCCTTCGGTGGGTGCACCCCCACTCTATTTTTTTTTTTTTTTTTAGAGAAAAAAATCCAGTCGTGTACTGTTCAAATTTGATTTCATTTGACCTTTGTTCATTATTAATGAAATCAAATTTGAACAGTACACGGCTGGGGAAGCGCATAAAAAATAGACGGAAATCCTCTTACTGCTGCTGAGTGAATTCGAAGATAATTGTATTCTTGACTACTTGAACATAATATTCGTTATTGAAAACCCAAGTTTTAATTATTAAATTAAAAAGCATCATGTGAGTTTACTCTATTTTAATGTTTTAGATATTTTGATCAATAAAATTAGAACCTATTTTTTACTTTATATACTTTTACGAAGGTTAATTTTCCTCCCGATGAACCCGTCTATAAACAACATTTCCACCAACGTTTATGTAGGGTGGGGTATTTCATCTTGTATTTATTGCTTATTTTCAATGATTTTTATTTTTATTTTTCCCTTCCATGAGCTGCTCTCGCATTGTTTTAACCGCTGCCATGTGTTCTCTATTATTTTGAATGTGTTTTCTCTGGATGAAATCTAAACATGTTGACTTCTGATATACATTTTTAATAACAGCTCTATACCGAATCATTTCTTTGGAATTTCATGCCTCTTCAGGATGTGGACATTAATGACTCTCCAAATATAAGTTTCTTTACTATCTGCGAATTGACATAAGAAAATCGGTTCACTATGTCGTACTATACAACTTTTCTCTCGAAAATCTTACATTCTTAGAAGTCTATCATTCATGCTTGGCTTGAATATGGCTGCTACATACGGTCTGTTGCTTCTGCTATATATTTAGATTTTCATAATAAAATCCAAAGCATCTGCAATATTGTTGGTCCTCACTTGGCAACTCTGCTTCAGCCCATTTTTCACCACCGTAACGTAGCTTAAGTTAATACATACTTTCATGATAATTGCTCTGATGAATTTTTCCACTATAACTAGAATTTAAGAGCAGGAATAGATTGGCGTCAAAACCCCATCATTTTACAGTTTAAATGGCTAAATGTTACCTATTTCTATGCTAAAGTTTATCGCAATTCTTACTTGTGGATATATCTTAGGGCTTCTTACTTCCAAGTTAACGTTTCAATAATTTAAATGCAATGTCAATCGTTATCTTGTGTTTTCTTAAGTCTTGTCCCTTTGTTCTTCTCTCTTTCTAATAGTAGTTTTTTTTTTCATGTTCTCTAAAACCCAATAACTTCTTGCGTTAGAGTGGATTTTTTCCATTGATTGGGGTGCAATGTTAAAAAAAAATCCAGTTGGTAGAATCGTTTTCTATTCTATCCAGAATTTTGAATACCGGATTGCATTAGTTCGATAGTTATTGTCGGGATTATCTCACCGACGAGTAAGGGATGGGGGAAAGGAAAGACGATTTCAAGCCTT